AACGCAAGCATCCAAGGCAAAACCAGGATTTTTGGAAAAGTGTGTTAATGTATATCTTTTTATTTACTTTAAGATTGAGAGTCAGTGCTTTATAGTCAAGGATTTTATATAGGTGACTTCATGTCCATCATGCAGCTGTTGGTGCTGATTTTACTCTCATTGGATATTTCTACTGTAACCTCCACGCTGTAACCACCTGGGTCACATTACCCCCCCAAAAATGCAAATATTCCCGTGTGAAACGTTACGTGAAGACAGCTGTGAATCAGATCTCATCATCATCGCCGCTCATCGCAGTATGTGACTCAGTTTGTGTGAGAAACACGTTCGTTACAACCAGCACAGAAAGCAGAACAGATGGTGTCAGACTGCATGTGTGGACAGTTTGTTCCCATTTAAAACAACGAGCTGCATCACACACATCCAGATCATCAGGAGCTCAAAACTACAAATTTGTGAAACCAGAAGATCAAAAGATCTGTTGCTGGTAAAAACACCTCCTGTTTACGATCTAGCGGACAGCGGCTTGCAGTGCTTTACCTGCTGCAGAAAACATCAGATCTACAGAGTTTGATGCAAATCGAGAATACGTTTTTAAGAAAGCTGTGAATTTGATGGTTAATGAAGTAACTCTGCTGATCTTTCTTGTTGCAGTCTGAAGTTGTATTTGGAAAGTGTCCAGCTGACACATGTCCAGGATCTCACAGGGTACCAGGAAGCCAAGTGAAGCCCAAAGTCCAGCTGTCATCTGGCAGCAGCAGTAAACAGTGAAAGCTGAATGGGAGTAACCGCCGAAGCTCTTTTGTGATCTGAGGGGTTGCTGTCATATTTCAGAATGACTGGATGTGCACCTGAAGCTGAATAAATGTTTAAACATATGTAACGAAAAAACCCCACAGCACACAGATGTTTTTATTTTTTGCTTCAGTCTAACTAAAAAAACCCAAACACATGAACTCCAACAATGTGCCTCAAAAAGCCGTGGCCCCACCCCCTCCACAGGGAACAAGGTCGTTTAAATGACTCTAATGATCAACAGAACAGGAAGTGAATTCATGAGAGTCATAACAAAAGAGCTTTTTCCTCTTCACTGCAGCTCCTGCAGTTTTTGGGAAAAGCCTCATCACCACTAAAATGCAAATCCCACCACTTCACCTAATAAGCCTCTTCATCAGCTTCCTCTTCTTTTCGGCTCTAATTGTCTGTCATCCAAAATAATCACCCCCCAGCCTCAGAGTGTCATTAAAGCGGTCATTTCCAGATTACACAGGAGCAGCATTTTGGGATGAACTGAACTCTCTTCTGACGACACAAACCATCTTTTCTGCTTGGCTGCTCCTCTAGGTGGCTTCATTACAGAGCCCATTAAGAATAATCACAGTGTGTGTGTTCTGAGCGCCTAATGCATTAATTTAATTAGCAGCATTAACGCCTTATCATCCCACAGAGAGCGGAGAAGAAGAGACAGCCGGGATGGAAGTGTGGCAGTAAAAACAGCCGTGAAGGAGGTCAGAGTCTAAGCGACAGTCGGACAGTCAGCAATCAGTCACACCTGCATCCAGGTCTCCTCTCTGGGATCAACTTATTGCACTGTGAGGAGTCAGAATCGAATCCCTGATCCACAGTTGACTGCAAAAAAACAGTTCAAACAGAGGAGGTTGTTCTGCAGAAGAGCTGGTAAAATTCCTCCTACTGCAAGTTTGGATTTTAAGCTACTGCACAATCCACTTTGTATTGTCTCTGTCCTGTCTTTGTTTATTGTACATAGTTAGTAATACATAGATAGAGTTAGTAGTAGCTTTTTATCTCCTAATTTTACCCAAATTTAGCGAGTTATTATTTATTTGTATTTCCTACTTTTATATCTCTCAAAAATATATTTTTTTATATTCTTATAAATGCACCATGGGGGACTTGGGCTGAAACAGCATTTCAGTACGCTGTATACTGTGCATATTGTTGTATTGACAATAAAGACCTTGAATCTTGAATCCTGATTTTCTGCAGCAAACAGCTAAACTGCTTTCAACCTCCTTTGAAGGTTTCTCTCTAACAATGACCTCAGAAAGTCTCAAGACTTTCATCCAGGAAACGAGGGTTCACCTCACACCAAAACGGTAGTGTCAAAAATTAAAAAAAAAAAAAATATATATATATATCTATATATATAGATATAGATATATATAGATATATACAGCATATACTCAGACATTAATCAATACTAAAATTACTGCTGAATGAAGATACAATAGTTGTTTTTGCCTCCTTCTGACACACACACACACACACACAGATCCTGCCTCAACAACAGCTAAAGTAGATAACATTAATAACACTGAACACTTTAAGAGGAAGGTCAGAGGTCAGTAAACCTCCTGTTTCAACAACAGTGGAATACTTTACACTCATTATAAATAGTAACCTGGCCAGAGCACATTAGCATTAGCTGTTTAACTACTAGCAGTTACATTTTGCCACCTGTTATCATTACTGTAGCAATTAGCAGCTTTAGTTAGATAAAGATAAATAATTATAGCAGCTGATCAGATCACAGCTGGCACTTTGATCAGGGACAGAGTTGTTTAAGGACATGTGGAGATGTGCATGGGGTGCTGCTGTGCAGAGCAGCACAGGGACGTAGCTGAACTGAGCAGAGTCCAGAGGGTGGAGAATCAATTGGAGCAAATAACGAGTGAAACCTGGAGCAGAGCAGCTAATCAGACGGTCTCAGGCCTGGAGAGCAGACAGACAGACACCGTCTGCAGGATGGGGTCAACATGTTTGAAATTCTAGCATCATGACAATCACTCGTTTCACTAGCTCTGTTTTAATCTTCATAAATTATTATTTAATATCTATCCAAAATGACTTCTTCAGGTTCATAAACAGCTGCAGAAGGCTCTCCTGTTTCTGTTGATAGCAGCTTGATGAGTCCTGACAGATGATTTGTGGCTGAAAGTAGATCTGGAACAAAAGCAAGAAAAACACGTGAAACATCATGCAGGAGTAAGTATTTCTCTCCAAATGGAGCTGAGCATCAGCTCAGTGGCAGCGTGACTTTAAGAAGCTGGAGGTGAAATGAAGTCTTCAGGATGTGAAGACTGAATCTAAGGGTCTGAAAGTAAATATGAAAGAACACAGAGTGATTATGTGACAGCCAGGTGACTCCTCTCCTCTAATCTCTGCTGTTTCTACAGACAACACTTTAATTCCAGAGTTTAGTCTGTAAGGCAATCACACAACAGTCTGTTACATCACTGAGTAACCTGGCCTTTCTGCCGCTATCCTCTTCCAGCTGCGCTGTGTCCTCATCACTAAACGACACGATCCTGAACAGCCAGAGATGATATGTGACGAGGAGGTAGCCTCTGACTGAATCCAGTTCAAATATGAGGCGTGCCGAGGTTTTGATCCCAGCAGACTCTGTCTGTAATTTCCTGAAAATATTAATAAGTTTGATGCCGTCTGAGACACTGTGAAAAAAGCTGCACGTCAGCAATTCCGTGTGAATCACGCAGATTACACCGGTTTAAAGAAATTACACAACTGAGTGAGGGAACATTTTTCCACATTTATGCTTTTATGAAGAAACGTTTCCAACATTTACACAATTCCCTTTAATTTTTTTATTAATTCAGAGACTGAAAATGAGCCTTTTACGTTTTCCACTGAGGCATGGGAAGCAGCGAGAACCGAGCCCACTCTTATGTTCACGAGCAGCAGCAGGTCATGTGACTAAATAATACATGTGTGTTTGTGCCGTGTTGTATCTGTGCCGACAGAAACATCACAAACTCACACCCAAATCATGTATGGTGCTGCAGGTCCTTGGACAGTTTGGTTCCTGGAGCAGGATTTAAGAGCATCTGCAGGGAGTTCAACAAGGCAGAAAACACACCTGCAGCACCAGCAGCTACCTAAAAAAATGTTCCGCAGACACAAACTTGTGAAGTTTTCTCACAGCAGAGAACACAACTCAATCAGAAGGTCTGACCTCACCTGAGGTTCACACGTCAAACAGTATCCTAATGCAGCAAGTGCTCGTGTGTGTGT